TATTCAAACTTTTTCTTCCCACGGCTCCTTTAAGTCTTCACAAAATGTTGACGGCTCGAAAATTATGTATGATAAAAAATTTATGTTTATATGAATGTAATTTATATTTTATAATTTAAACTTATTATTTATTTACCATATTATACATGCATAAAAAAAATTAAAGCTATATTTGTCGAATGATTGTTGTAGACAATTCAACGTTTCCCAGCTGGCGTGCCACAATGATAATAGCAAACGTTTTTTGTAAAAATATTTATTGGTTTTCAAATATACTACGCGGCTTCCTTCGACAACTCCTGCGACGCCCCCGGGAACCGCGACGCACAGTTTGAATACCCCTGCTATAGAGTGATCCGCGTTCCTCGGCCTAGAATCGAGGAGGAGAAACTTTCGGCCGTCGGAACTACCACGCCCCCGGCAGTAAACGGAATGACATGCATTATAGTATCGTAGGTATAAAGGTATACGATATTTTATTTTAGTCATATTTTGTGTATAATTATTATTATTCATAAATTATTGTTGTCCTGCTTACACAGTGACCTATTGCGGTCCTATTTTTGTACCTATCGTTTGTATTTTTGATTTAAAAATAAAATCGCGGGGGTAAGTGGGTAACGATCTGCTATAAATTATTTGTCTAGAGAGTCACTGTGATGAATGTGTTTAACAAATTCAATCATAAAATCAATCATATAAATTCATTGTATACGAAAAACGATTCTGACCGAAGACGGTCTGACAGCTTATAATATTACTTGGTATATTTTTCAATATTATTGTGAATAAAGTAATTTATTTTACTATTCAGCATTAGTACTACAGTAGGTTGAATTTATTTTTGCCGAAATTATAGCGTACGTTATTGTGTGTATAAAATATATTAATATACTCTGAAAGTTTCAAGTTCCCACAAATAATATTTTTAAGTTACTATACAATAATAACTTCAATCATTATTCCTGGTTATTTAATAATAAGTAATTTCGTCCAAATTTGAACATAAAATAACTATAAAAAAAATGTGTACCTATATATCCTTATCTATAAAAGTTATTTTATAAATGTCAACATTTGACTTTCAATGCTTATGAAACAAAATCGTACTTATTTATTTTTAATATTTTTCAACTGAAATTGTAACAATATATCAAGAGCCTTGTATTAAATATTCATGAATTTTGACTCAACCGATATAATTTAATTTATATATACAGAAAAAAAAAAAAAAAATTTTTTATTTAAAATGTCCGTAATTAAAGCTTAAAACGAGTCAAAATATTTTGTAAATGTTATTGAGTAAATGAAATGATAAAATAATCATATGGTGTAAATTTCAAGGATCTATAGTTTGTTTTTGAATGACAAAAAAATAAAAAAATAATTATATGAAAAATCGAATGAATATACAATGTTTTGAACTTCAAACGCCCATTAGAAATTTTTTTGAAAATTGTTAAACATAGTTCTTCGTAAGTAGTTCTTAGTAGACATTTTTTTAAAAAAAGTTGATTTTAAGTCCACAATATTTTTTATGAGCATCTGGGGTTAAAATTTTGACATACGGAAAAATCACAAAAATAGGAAAATTATTTAGAGTTAGTGAAGTAATTCATAAAAATGTTTTTTTTTTCATATCTAAGATTTGAAAATTTAATATAAGATATTGCGCAAAATTAAAAGATCCGATGCTGCTCTATTACATAAAGTTATTTTAGAGTTTAGAGAAGATGTATTTTGTTTTAGCTCTATCTTGTTATGTACATAATATGTGGAGTAAAAATTATATCCGAAAAAATTTATATCACACAATGTCATATTGCAAGTTCATATTTTTTGCATTCTATATTTTTATTTAATAATAATAACGTTTTAAAATGTCATGTTTGATTTTTTTAAGGGCATATATTTGTATGCATTTTTAGTATTCTTAAGATCATTAACATCCAACCCTAATATACTCATAAGCTTGTCTACTGGAAAGTCAGATCAAATTTTCATGGGTTTTTGAAGTTCAAATTATTAAAACATTGGATATTACTCGATTTCTCATGGAATTACCTTATTGTTTTGTTGTAATTCAAAATTGTAATTCAAATTTGCAATCTCAAATATCAATGTTCAAATCACATCTGATCAAAATCATTTCCTTTCTTACAGCCGCACTGTACAAACAATACATTATTTCATAGTCAAAATTATCAGCTGTTCCTCATTAACTTAATATTACCACTAGGTATGTCTCATTGTGGATTACGATACATACTTTGAAACCGGTTCCTTTTAATATGATTATTTTGTATGAAATATTTAAGCACTAGTTTATCAATAATTGTATTCTGTTTTTCAATATGTACGTTATTGGTTATAACTGTTAAACTATAGTTGATACTAAAAGCTAAATAAAAGAAGAAGTTCAAATTTGGACGAAACTATACATATTATTACCAAGAATAACGATTTTAGTTTTGTTGTTATTTTTATTGATTTCAAGATGATGTCTTATTTTTATTATTTATTTCGTATTTCGTAGTACCTATATAATTGTATTCGTGCAGGTTACTTGAACTGTATATTATTATTATATTTTACACACACACAATAACGTTTTATAAGCTAAATATTTTCGGCAAAATATATTTATAAGCTTCTGTAATACTTAATGCTTAATAGTAAAATAAATTAGTTTAATCACAATGATGTCTATACAAAATACTTATATAGTAATATACTAATATTATAGGTTGTTCGGTCGGTCGTCTTCGCTCGGAATTGTTGTTTGTATATAATTAATTTATATCATTGCATTTAAATTTAACATGTCCATTGACCATTACAGTGACTCTAGACATCTAATGTACATCAGAGAGTTACTGATTTACCAGATTTACATGACGTAATATAGAATTATAGAATAATGAAAACGGAATCAATATTATTATCACTGTCCGACAGTGAGATAAGTTATTGTCGGTCCTTGGGGCGGTCGGGCGTATTTCCATATTAATTACAGTGAAGACGGAAGTACTATTAGTAAACTACCGATTAATTCTCGGATGACGTTATAATAACTCCTAGGAATTCGCGATCACATATAAGGCGATATGCCGATATATTCGAGGTAATTCTAAATTATAGCTAATATCACGCTTTACACAGAAACAGCACCACACACATGTATAGACTAATGGTTCATTGTGGTTTCATTTTTAACAAAATACACTTTTTGTTGTGGTTCTTACATGGAATTCTGGGCAATTAAGTAGCGATTATAGCGAGCATCATACATTTATTGTATATATAGGGTATAGGTCATTGCAATTTGCAATGATTTGTTGTAATCATAATGTAGGAGTGTAACATTTTTTTATATTTTCCATAATGTTTAAAATATACCAGTCATTTGTAAAATATTATTATACGCTGTTTACATTTGTATACATATTGTTCAAATGTTTATTTTAATTGGCCCGGTTCCGCTCATAATTCGACAATATTCGACAATCCTACATCAAGAGTACAATTTGGAAATATCAAATTTTGAGAAGTTTCACTTTTGGAATCGATTGAATCATGGAGATTATGTGTGTAGAAACTGTTTGATAACACCTTTTTTTAACTGAAGCAGAAATTCGCTATCAGGTTAGAAAAAGATTATCATAAACGATAACCATTATTATTTGTTCTTCTATTTAAAGTAATACATTTTTAATATTTTCAGAAAATTAATACATTTGTATACCAGAAATATAATAGAACGGACAATGATTCGTGTGAAAAAGTCTGTTCCCTGCAGTATTTTCTATTGGTATTCGGATCCAAATCCCTGCATCTACTGCTCACGATTATTACCTACTGACTACTACAACAGTAGTATTACTTAATACGTTAACAAAATCTTATGTCCTTTAAATTACTTGTTCTTAATGATAATTAGCATCGAAAAGTTCTAATTTACTTTGGTAATAGTGTAATATGCGAATCATTGTCTGAAACTATTTGTAATCTTGAAGCGCCACACCTGCAAGCTTTGTCTCCGTCACACAAACGCATTCATTAATTAAACTCTGTTTGACTTATTATCGAATTTAGAAGTGAGAATATTATCGAGTCAATGACGGTTTTTTTTATATTTCAATTACATAATTATGAATAGGGCTCGGATTTAAATACTCTAAAAATATCAAAACAATGCCCTTTCAAAAAAATGCATTTATGACCTAAAAACTCTAAAAAATGCCCTAAAAATATTAAAAAATGCATTATTTATTAAATAAATTAAAAATTAAATTATATTTGCATTGCATTGTACAATAAGAATTTCTTTAATGTTTTGGAATTTAAATGATCGACGGTTGTCTGCCAATAAAAATAGTTCAAAATGAAAATAATTTTTATTACAATACTACTATGTAGTAGTTATATTTCAATGAGGTCAATTTTTTTAGTCATAGTACGACAAATAGGTCAAAAATGTCCTAAAAATGATGAAATCCGCATAAAATGCAAAAAAAAAAAATCAAAAAATGCCCCAAAAAATTATTGTGATTAGATTGCGAAGTACTTGAAACATATTTATAGCTTGGAAAGCATCGTGTAAAATATCCCCAAAAAAAAGATGCAAATGCATTGAAATCCGAGCCCTAGTTATGACTATTTTTAAAATAGCACCACATAGTTTATAAATTTTAAATGCTCATAAACTCTCTTTAAAATTGAAGTATAAAAACAACAGCGTACAGCGAGAACTCAATCAAGGTTTGACTTTGATAAGTTTAACTAAATAAATATTTTTGAAATCCACAGATCATACATATTAATGAGTTTAGAAATATATTTATACTAAATCCCATAGTAGAACAAAAGTTAATAATTTTTATAAATAATTTTTACATCTCAATAATATTATATTTTTAATAAAAATCATGAAAATGTTGAATAATACTAACATACATGGTTGTATTTACGTAATATTTTTAATTTAGTAATAGTTTACTAATGTATAAATATTTCTTAATTATTGATTTAATGTTAACTCTTATGGAACAAATATAATATAAAATGAAATGGTTCTAACCACAAATTAAATTTACTCTTTGCTTAATAGTTTGGCAATAAATGTTTCTTCCATATCATTTATGATACAATGTTCTTGAAACAACTTTAGACCTCGTTCGTTTGCTAAATGAAGAAGGCCAACAAATACAATGGGTATTGAAAGCTCATCTCTTTCATTAACACGCAACATTGTTAACAAGTTAAAAAACGATAACTTTGAACTCCATTCACCATTGGTATTAGTTTCCTACACAAAAATAATTAGGATAGTAAATAAAATGCAAGACTTCATTATATAGATACATACTACACACTGTTCATCAATAATATCTGATATTTCTTTTTTCAATTCTCTTACATCCATTTTTGATTCAGTGTCAATGTCAGCTATAACATTTTCATCTTCAGGGTTCAACTAGAATATAAATAAATAATTTGATATTAGAGGTTGAAATTTTACTTTTTTTATGATGTTTACACCATAAACAACACGCATAATATTCTCTTAACAAACCAGGGGGCGTCATTTCGATGTTCGTTGGAGTAGAGCATGATAAAGACCAGCCCACTAACTATAAAACTTTTAAGTACACATCCTAAAAAAAGTGACTCACTAGGTCACCCAACTCTTAATTATTTTTTTTTTTATACCTTATGTAAGACACATCCGCTTTTATTAACATATTAGTGGGGACAGAGTGGCTGAGAGAACTAAGACGTCGGTTCTAACGCGCACCTTTGCCGGTTCAAATCCTAGCCACGGGTGGCATCGCGCTTAAGACAGGCGAAGCCACCATCCTTCAACCGGGCATGGCGGAAACCTACAGGTGCCCAATTAGAAGAAATTCTGCCGAATAGGCGTCCGAACTAGGCATTTAAACCTACTTCCAGACCAAATGCACAAACTACTCCTGTGCCAAATGCAGAAAAAAAATCTTTTAAAGCAGATACTGAAACTATAGGAGCAGAATTAATAGAATAATGAAAGTCTACATGTTTCCAAATATGCCATAATGTACTTAAAATATTATTTTATGTCTAAAACTTAAATTTTTAAACAAATGTACTCATGAATTCTGTATTTCATGAATCATTTAGAGAATATATTAATTTAAGATGCATAGTATTATTATAACTAACATTTTATAACATATTATCTCTAGATTTTTATTTTGATGAAACATAAATGTTTAAATGTTACATCAATCACTTTTCTAGTTACATCCAATTTTGCCAATTTGCCATCAATATTTTCTAACTTTTTCGAAACTTTATAATCAATTTCCATGGCTTCTAATGTGTCTACAGTGGTTTGGCTACAAACATTGCTATTCTAAAATATGATACAAATACATATTTTTTAAAAAAATGTCTTAAGAAATGTATAGTAGTTATGGTCTGTATATGTATAACAAATACAATTTAGAGGATATATTTTCTATAGTTGATAAATGATAAATGATAATTTATTTTAATAAACTGTTTAAAATACTGTTTTAATATTTTACTTCTGTTATTGTATTACATATAATATTTAAGTCATGTAATGTCCTACTATTATACTAATTGTTCCACTGTTACTTTAAAGTTAAAATGGAAACCCGTACATTTGTAATAAATAATGTTGAAATTAATTTAACTTAACTAATCAAATTTTTTTTCATACCTCGAGATTTTTATGACCTTTCCACCAATCTGGCTTAATTTCAGTATATTTCAAAAAATTAAACCTGTAATTTAAACAATAAATATTAATCATGTATATGCTGACAAAAATTACTTTTTGAAGTATTGCATACAAATATAATATTTTAATCAGTTGGTGTGAAGCAAATATTTGTCTAATTTAATACTAATAAAATTAGACAAACACAAAAAGAACACGTAAACTCATAAACACTTTAGTGTGTGGTTAGTCCTTTATAGCGTTCATTCAACTATATAATTTTACACTATAAACTATGTAGTTAGAAGAAAATAATGGTTATTATAATCATTAACTTACTTATATGGAACATCGGCAACAATTGCACGCATATCAGATATATTTACAAGTGGATCCCATTTTTGTAGTGTAAAAGGTGATATGTATTTTCCATCTTCATCATTTTTTTTCAATAGTTTATCTATTTGGCTCATATCTAACCAATCTATTTTAACACTTTCATCCTTAACTTGATTGTGTTTTTTATAAGTTTGTTTAATATTTTGCTGTGAATTTTCATCAATATTATCATTTACGTTAAAATTTGAAATAATGTCTTTTCGTTCATCTATAAATTAGAATGCATATAAATAACAATTTTACAATAAACATTGTGAGTAATTTAAGGAAATTCAACAAAGCTTTCCAGGCTTTTGGTCCTTTCCAATTAGCAAGAAGCCTGGGATTAAAATAGCTATACTCTCTATCAACAATGTGATAACATTTCAAAAGTCCATCAAGTACAGATGTATCTTTATCATCTGAATCTTAAACATTATATTATATTAATATACAATTATTTTGAACATAATATATCATTTTTTTTTTTAAAGCGTTTGGATATCTAATAAAAATTAATATTACAAATTGCAAGTTTAATTTGCTTATAAAAGATGTTGAAAGTATCCATGAGCCTTCAAGTGATTATTCTATGTATATACATACATATATATATGTGTGTGTGTATGAATAAACGTACCAAGTTTACTATTATTTGGTTCATCACATATAGAGGCTTCAGAATTATAAATAAATTGATGAACATTAGGATCAAAGTGATACTTATTGCCGTTCAATTGATCATTGTTTGAATTGTCACCTTTGTCACGTGCAGCTATAAAACCCTTAAATTCAGGGCAGATAGCTCTTTTCGAAAGTGCATCTACAAAAATAATTATATTAATACGACGTCACACTCGTATGTGTTGTCTTCATCTTATGAACTCAACACAGTAAAAGCTGTTCAGCGCAAAATAGAACCACTTAACCTATAGTACAAGCTTAGCAACCAAAGTTTCTTAGTATTACGAGGAGAACATTAACTGTGCAACATTGTTTTTATTTTTTCATAGGTTAGGTTAGTTTTTGTATCACAAATACAAAAAAAGTTGTTCAAGTTTGATATAATGAGATTTTAAACAATAAGAACTCTTCTTGTATTTGTGATTTCAAAAAAATAAAAACGATGTCACACAGTAAGTGTTCTCTTGTTTATAGTGTAAACATTTGGTTGCTTAGCTTGGACTACAGCTTGAGTGGTTCTATAACTAGCAAAACAGTTTTTAACATACAACACATACCAGACAGCTCTAAAAAACTTTTATCAACTTCTATTGTTTCATAATCTTCTACTTTTTTGGTAGAATTTTCACGAACTCTTTTCATTTCTTCTGGTAAGGTTTCATTGGAGTACAATGATCTCATAAAACGGAAAGGACTACCCACGGATAATAATTCTCTACAACTAAAGCTAGAAGTCATATGATTTATTTCTGAATCGAAGGAATACTTTTCATTTTCCCTTGGTGTACGTCTTAATTTTTCATTTGTAGTCAACATCATATTTTGTCTCTATAATACACATAAATTATTTATAATAATGTATATTATTTTAAAATTTTAAATAATAATTATTGAACTTTGATACTCACCTTTGATTTCTGAACAGCAGTTGCGTTATCATCATCCTTTATTCTTGTTGTACTATAACTGGGATTATTGAATTTAAATTGTTCAACTAGTTTACTAGTTGTTTCTGCCAAATTGTCAACACGATAAGCATAGATTATTTCCGAAGCTTCAAGATAGTCACTAATCTCTTGGAACTAACACATGCAAATAAAAAAAGCGTTAGATGAATATATTTAAGGTATAAATTAACATAAATGGTAAACTTTTTACTGTGGTGTCGTCAAATATTGAGCTTTTTTTTTTCTTCAACCAAGAATGAAAATATCCAATCATATCAATTTCAAATGCGCTGTTCACATTTATTTTCTAAAAATTAATTTAAAAAAGTTAATATTTAATCAATAATGTGCCATTTATAGATTTTTTAAAAGCTATAAAAGGTGGATGTGATGGCCGACATGTGTTGTCACCATCTTACAAATATACAATTAGGAAATCAGCAGAAACAATTTTGCATGGTTAGGTTTGATATTACAGTCAATTCACTTACTATTAAAATCAACGATAAGAATATTATCTGTGTTCCCACATATTTTTTTTAATTTTAAAGATAAATCAAGTTATGAGTAGGTTAGGCTAGGCTAAGTTGGAACTATGTAAAATAACATTTAAAACAAAAAATATTATTGACAAAACGCAAATCATATTCTTACCATGAAATTTGTGAATAAGTAAATTTACCAAAATTTATTTTAAGTTAGGCACCTATTACAAAATATTATAACAAAAAATGGGTTCTGCTGAATACAGATATCATGTTATACATTGTTAAAAGCTCCTTTTAATTCAACAAGCAGTATAGCAAATTTCCCCTGCTGGTAGAACCTGTGGAACGGTAAATTTATATGAAATTTTTTTTAGGTATCAAGCCAACATAGTTATATCTACTTGTAACTTTAAAATGATGTAAAATGTTTTTCTTATATATTGTGATTTGATGGAAATTTTTCCAAAGTTTATTTTAGTTACATCTATTTACAAACAATTCCTTGGATAACTAATAACGACATTAGGCAGAATGCAGCTTGCAGCAAGCGTTGTTGTCAAACACAACATAATAATAATAAATATGTTTATTTAACCTCATCAAAAAAGAGGCACAGCATAATTTCTAAATACGGCCCTGAGTACAGCTAACTGTGATATTTATAGAGTACTAAATCATAGGTGATATTTGTATAAAGTGATACTGGAATTTAAACTCAATTTGTTGGTGTAAGGTTTTAAATTACCCAGAAAGTGTCTTATTCACTAAGTTTCTAGCTGTGTCACAAATATTAACAATTTCTATAAAAGTACCTTAAGACGTGACCACCTGCTACCTAAATATTTTCCATAAATTTTCAAAATGTATATAGAATATAATATTTTTATAACAAATACTTATGAAGTTATAATAATTCATGTCATAATCTACCCACCCCAAATTTTATTTTTATTTATCAAAATTCTCCTAAAAATATTCTGTTTTAGGATAAGAAATTAAAAATATGTCATCATTAGGGCTCGGATGTTTATGAAATTGCATATTTTTTTTCTATTTGTCCAATTTAATGCTAACCTGGATACAAATTTTATTCATGTTCTACTGAATCAAATAATACTATTTTTATTTTGAATATTTAATGATTTTGTATTTTAGTTGCATATTTTGGGATTTTAAAAACAAAATTGCTTATTTTATTACGTTTTTTTAAAAAACAATTTAAATTAACGAACTACAAAATTTTACCAGTCAACATAACTAAATTAAAATCATCAGGACTGCCTTTGTTCGAATCAATTGAAGTTGTCAATAATACAAGAGAAACCTTCAAAATGGCTAATGGAAAAGTATAGGAAAAGAAACTAACGACAAATTTCAGAACGTAATTGAAAAAAATAAAGGATTTAAAACTTTGGTACAAATTTCAAAAATACATTCTAGTGAAGTTGATACTATGGAAGGAATAGAAGATTTGAAGGTTGGGGATCTTGCATTTTTCAAATATGCTCCAATAACATCAGTTGATGTAGAACAAAGTTTTTCAAGCTACAAAAACTTACTTACCGATAACAGATGCAGTTATAAAGTTTGAGCAAATTATAAGAACAATAGTAGCACAGTGTACCGCTAATAATGTAATAAATAATAAATATAAATATAAATTAAAGTAAATAAAACACTATGTACATTTGAAAAATATATTTTAAATTTTAGTAAAAAAAAAATAATTTATAAAAATAACTACTGGGTAATAAAAATATAATATTTTTGTTTTATGAATTGTAATACTTTTTTGTGCATATTTCGGCGTTTTTATTGACTAAAAATGCATATTTCGTAATTTTTTAGTGCATAAATGCATACATTTCACAGTTGTGCTTAAACATCCAAGCCTTAGTCATCATTGAGAAAAAATTAAATAATGTATGATACAAATTTTTTTTTTCAAGATATGGTTTTGTTACAAATTAATTTACATAAAAAATCTTTTTAAAAATGTTAATAATTTTCAAAATATGAAATATTTTTTGGTAAAAGAACACTCACCAGGTACTATGTTATGGCGTAACCTTAAAGGTTTAGGGGATGAGCATAACCACTCATATGAGCCATTTAATGTGTTTCTATAGGTCCCGTGAGCATATACAATTTACTTATTACATAAATAATAACAAACTTAATTCAGTGTCATCCACAAAAGACCTGGGTATAATCCTAACCCACAATCTTAATTCCCAGGAATTATCAAATGTGTGGTAAAAAAATCATTACGAGTATTAGGCTTTGTAAAACGCCATTCATCCAAATTTAAAAATTTGGATTCTTATAAATTACTTAACTACGTGTTAATTAGATCAATCCTAAAATATGGATCAACCATTTGGAGTCCCTATAATAAATCTAATATAAATTGTATTGAAAGAGTTCAAAACCGTTTTTTAAAGTTTATAGCTTTCAAATTCAATATAACTATTGATCAGCATGACTTTACTCCAGTGAGACTCCTCATTAACCTCCCTTAGCTACTAGACGTGAACTAGTAGATATATCTTGTATTTATAAATTAAACAATAACAAAATTGATACCCCTCATTTACTAAATTGAGTTTTGTTTTACATTCCAGCTTTAAAGATAGAGAAGTTGGTTAAAAACTGGAGTCTTACATTTTCAGTAACTAATTGCAGCCAGGGGTAGCATTACCTATAAGTTAATACATTAGATTATAACTTAATCTTATAACACATCAAATATGAATGCACCTACTAATATTTATGAGTTATGGGATAGTGTAAGATATAAGCAATCAGGTTAAGTACGGAACATTTTTACTTAAGTACATATTAAAATGATAACTAATTTAGATTTTGCCAGTGAGATGGGAAACATAATAATTTTATAATAAATTTATAAATGTAAAACTTACGTTTTCTAGACATAAATTACGGAATGTCTTTAGCTTAAGAGATAACTCTTCAGTTGAATAGTTTTCATGGCGTTCATCATCCTCGTCTGACGAATCGGATTTGATATGTGACGTCTAAACATGTTATAATATAATATAAAAATGTAGGTATTAATTTATTAATCGCATAAACTTACCGATGCTTTGTTGTTCGTATCCATTTTGTACAAACGTTCAACACTTGGTTGAATACAAACAATAAATATCTTCCGGTATTTTTAAGGCTAGATAGGGTAGGTATTTTACGTATAAATATGCCGTTGTCGAAGTTTGGTTATTTCAATAAAAAAAACTGAACTACATTAAACATCAAACTCGTAACAACTATAACGACCAACGACAATTATTAATCAGTGATAGGCGCTTCACTGCGACACACTGACATACGACAGTAGACACTAAACAGCCTATTCCTACTTGTTATTCGCGGCCCGCGGTTGTGCTATTGAAAAATAAAACAACTTTTCACTTGTTCACTGTTTCAATTTTTATTGTTTACTTTACACTTTACCGCGCTTTAAAATGAACACCATAGAGTCACAACACGGTTAAATAGTCAGGAAGCCAATAACACTACCACACAAACTGAGGTTATCTTATTGTCGTGTCGACGTGTCATGACTTTACAAAAGAGCACGGAGCTATCCGTGTTATGCTTTAACCGTGGTAACGAGCAAATCGAAGAGTACCCATATATATATACTGCCATACTGGTACGACCATATTACTGGTATCAACTACCGACCGTGGCGCTATCACGCCAGTCTCATGAACGTTTAAGGCAAGTTACGTTACGGTACGTTACGTCGAAAATTATGGGAATATTGATTTATCGACACTTCCATTATCATTTATTATGAAATATGATAAATGATTGGTCATTTTCAATATTGTGACAACTTCGTCTTTTACTCTTTTCAGTTTTCACTTTTACATTGCAATGTTTCTTCTTTTTTTAGTGATGTTTTGTTTATTACAAGTAATACGAAAAGTAATTGAAGATTATTTATAATATAATAGCTTCATTTATTTTAAGGATAGGGATAGTTTATTGTAGGGTTGACAAAACTTTTTTTTATTAATATCTACTGCACATATTAAAATATCTTTATACGTGATTCAATAGGTTAACATTATACGATAGCCGGTGTAGAAGTGTATCATTGCATATTGTTGGCTAGACAATCTGAGAAATTGTTTTTAACTGTTAACCAGAGACGGTTCTAAATAATCATCAAAAAGTCAATATTCAACTTTTATACCTTTTGTGTTAGTAAATGTAACTTCACTCAAATAGGTCAATCCACATTATTTATATAACTGCAACTACTAAATATGTATTAATTAATTCTAATTAAGTGGGATTGACTATGAAATTGTCCAAAATTGACTGTTTGGCCGCCTCTGGTATACTGTATTTATTTGATACAAAATCATAACTAAATATGTACTTATATAAATTGTAAATCAATTGGTAGACTAATTATTATTCATTGAAGAACAAAATAACTTTAAAACAGTAGTAAATATCATAGTTAATAATTAAAATAAAAAGTAATAATTATAACTATTTTTTTTTTTATTGATCATTACAGCTTCGACAGCATAGGCTATTTAGCTTGTGAGTTTTATACAATTATATACTTATAAATATATGCTTAGAATAGGAGAGATAAAAAAAAAAGTTTATGCAAAATTACTTCATATATAACTATTTATCCATATCAATATGGCTAACAAATAAAATGATAGTACCATAAACGATAAACATGTGACACAACATACCTAGTTAATTAGGGAAATAGACAGTTAAAATAAAACTTAATAATTATGAACAAGATATTTTCTTCATGGTATGTAATGTGTTAGGTACCTATGTTATTAGTGTTTTAAATGTTGAATATTAAATGAATATTAAATCCTAATGAACTACCTAGGAATGTACTAGCATTAAATTGACAATGAATTACAGGCATTTTTTAATTGTTTCTATACCTTTTAAAATGCTTACTATAATATTTGTATCTTGAATTATAAAATTTTCCAATTTAATATCTTATCTTTATAAAATCTAACCTATATTTTTATAATGGATAAATAAATAAATAAATAAGAATATTGCATTTTAAATGATCATATTTTTTATATTAGTAAAGAACACATGTGACAATTGTGGTAGTTCTACATTTATTTCTGTGATTAAAATTAATTGTTAGCTGATAATTGACATAAAATCCATAAATAACCCATAAATTATGTCATTGACTACATGTTTCAAAAACAATATTAAATATTTTTTTTATCTTCAATGTCAAACATGTAAAGTAGATCTTATTGATAAAATCTTATAAAATCACATAATTGATGCTAGAAATTTTACATTACTCATCCCACAAGCAATTTATTTTATTTAACTTAGTATTTTTTATCTTATTTTTGATTGTTTGTGTAGGTATATCTATACTTTACCAGACACCCTTTCCTTTGTAAATTGTTTTTTTTAATTATGTAGTTTGGTATACTAAAAATGATAGTAAAGATAGAATTTAGGGCTCGGGCTTAGTTTTAAAGTTATAGGTCTATGAAATCAAGCACATTTGGTAGATGAATACCAATGGAAGATTTTTCCTATGAAAAGTTATTTTTGAAAACATTTTAAAGGAGGTCATAGAATGGAAACAATCATTGCTGTTGCAAAATCCTACCTGTGTTAATGCTGGTCTCTCGGTTAATGTTAGGAGAAATACCTATTAAAGGATTTAAATTATTAGAATGTAAGTTGTGCCATATAAATTAAAAATGTTCAATATATCAATCTAATGAATCACACTACAAGGGTTTGTTTTTTTTACCATTTCTGTTAATAAACACATGGATGAATACTTCAATTGTTTAATTTAAAAATTCTACTATTATTTTATTTATTATTATTATAAACACCACATAAAATAAAAGTACAGACAATTAATGTCCCAAATTAGTTTTTCCTGTTGACCGGAGTACATTTCCATTCCGGATGGAAAATCTTCCCATAACTGAATGTCAATTAAAAAAAATAAAAAACCCTAAAAAAAATATCTGCTAAATGGAATTTATACAGATACATTTCATTTCTTATATATTCGGAAAAAAACATACATTGCAATTGCCTAATTCGTTTTAATAATAAACATAAGATAATTTCAGAATTTGGATTCAATAATGTGATTACTCACATAAGTAATTTAATAAAATTGAAAAATTCCACTGACCAACACAACATCGACTTGTTTATGAATTCAGAGGTTTTATCATTGAAATTTAAAATTGAATTACTGGAAATATTTAGGGACACGCTTAAGGTGTATTATGCATATTCACTTTTATTTTACTATATTTTAGTTTTGAATATTGACCAATTGTTTAGGTTTGTAGATAGTGTAGGTTATGTATATGTTACGGGTTTTTCATTTTTTTAATTTTATTTACAATATGTTAAAGGTTAGGTACTAACAAATAAAATAGGTTTCAGAGTAGAGGTTACGCTGTAAAGCGCACCATGTCTTATGTTGTGCAGTAATTGTGTAAACTAAATGCAATATTTAAAAATATGTTTCTTGTAATTGATTTAGGTGTTGTAAAATATATTACAATTTTAAAAGCGCATAACTTGCTTCAATATCAATTTATGAGGTTGGTTGCCACTTAGAATAATTTATAATGATTTTGTACCCAAGACTGAGGGTTTTAATTTTTTTTTATTATAAAGCTTTTATTATGTATCTTGTTAATTGTTACTATTTGTAAAAAAACTAAATAGTGTAAGTAATTATTCTTAATTTTAAACGTATTAGTTTTTATTTCTAAGATGTTTTTACAGAAAAACATACATTATTATTATTATTATACATTTGTTGCTTACTACTAGGGCTCGGAACTTAATGCACTTAAAGAGTACTAAATATGCATGCTCTTATGCGCTTAAAAAAAGTACAAATATGCACTTATATTTTATTTTTTTACACAAAGTTTTCATTTGCAGAAATATTTTATAAAATTGTAAGTATGGAAAAAACAAAATAATAAAAATAATTTTGATTTTTAATTTTTAATCATAATATAAACAACCTAAAAATTATATAAAAATGCTTCCAAAATGTTCCTTGAATAAAATAAATACGTATAAGTCGGAACTGACAATAATATCTTGGCAGTAGGTCTAGTGATGCCATCAGCCCATCAACAATAATCATTGAATTATTTCCCTAGAAAAATATTTATAGAAAACCATCATATTTCTATTTTATATTTATTTAATATTTATATAATATTCTATTTTAGATAAAGTAAGCTGTAGTTACATAATTTATAAATATTTATACATTATATTAATTAATAGAGGAAAAACATTGTTTTTAATGCCAAATGGAAATTAATAAATACGATACAAGAATATCTAATAAAATTCTTTCAATATGAATCTATTAATGTTTTTATTTACGAATCTTCATATATTATAATTTATAAAATATACTCTAAAAGAATGTAAAATTAAGAAATATGCTCTAAACTCAAAAAAATCATTAAATATGCAAAACTATGTACTATAAACTTTTGATATGTTTTTCATAGTGTCTTTGAATGAATTTCTAGCTCACTTAGCAATAAATCTAAAGGTCCAAAAAAAACATACAAATGCAACAACTTCCAGCCCTACAGTTACTACCTATATATATTTGGTTTAAATGCAAATAAACAATAACACATATTTTAAATTGTATTCAATTACTTTTTTATTTGTATTATTCTTATTTTTTTTTTTTAATGTATGGACACACAATATAATATTGGTATTGCAAGTTTATATGCACTATTTATGTTTAGTGGTAATCTGTTTCTAACATATTTATATGTTCTATAAACTTTATTGGCAGGAGTTCTTATAAGAATTGAAGTTCCATCAATACATCCAATTACATTAGGCATTCCAGACACCTGAATTTATAAAGTTTAGTCATGTTTATCATTAAGAGAACCAGTATTACAAACATATGGCACTGCAAAATTTTTGTCCACTTGTTTCAATAGTGTGCTGTTAGTTTTGATGTTAGAATGAATTTACCTAGTTTCAAACTTTTAAGTTTAATTTTATTCAACTTTTTAATGTTCAATCAAAAAAATGTTCAAATCTAGCTTGTAAATTAAAATATCAAGTAAAAGCTAATGCTTAAACTCAGATAATATCCTTACCTAAGACTTGGTAAACGCTTGAATATAAAAATATAAAATGTAAATATATGAATTAATATTAAAATATAAAACTTAAATACATTAAATCAAACAATCGAATGACGGTAGCGTATTCGAGAATATAACGATTGATCCAAAGTATTATCAAGACGTAAATTATATAATATTACCATTGTACTGCCTCATTTTAAACAGGTTTTTTAATTTTATATTGGTGAAGTTATTATTATGTTTACATGTTGACATAATTATCATCAAATATGTTTTGAAATATACTCACTCTATAACTCTGGTCTCTGAAATGCTCATGAAATTTTGTTAAAAATCATAATTATGCAGTAAAATACGATTTTATTTTAAAATATGCATGGGTAGGTACTGAAGTAAAAAATATCAAAATAAGCAGAAGTTTGTAATCTAAAATTTTATTTTCGAACACAAAGGGTTGTGATTCCAATTTGAAGCTGATTCACCAACTTTTTGCAGTACTAAGTGCCCCAGTAAAAACATGCAATAATGCATAATGTACGATCGAAAAAGCTGAAAATAATATTAATTAACGTTAAAATATTTTATACAAGTCCCCCAATAACGAACAATTAATAAATCAAATTAAATTACTGTTTTGAAAGAAGTATTTACTTTTTGCCATTCTTACCCATCGTTCTAGTGGAATATTTTCAATTCTTAGATCATATACAAGATACATATACGTATATGATGTAAGGGAATAATCATACATAATACATAATCAAATGCAGTATGCACTGGTGTTCACATGTAGTGTGGTGGAGAAGGGAAAACGCCATGCTATCGTGACCGGCTATCACTTATCAGTTGTCACTTATCACACATTCATACCGCTATCACAAGCTGACGGCGACGGTGGGACAAAGCACACGCTTCCGGGAACAACAAATTTTAAATAAATAATAATTTAGAATAATGATAGAAAATTTGTTTGAATAATATAAATATGGCCTGAAGCTTAATGCTTAACAAACACGTAAATATGACAATACACAGTCAATTCTCAATAAGTCGAAAAAACTTTGAATTATCGAGAATTCGAATTGTTGAGTAGTTTGAAATAACGGGAGCAAAAAAAAAAAATTCGAATTACTGAGAAGTGAGAGTTAAGAAAAAAGTTTTGTTCATTTATTATAGTACATAATTATTAATTATATAACATTAGTTTCTTAGCTATAGCAAACATTGGTTTGCTGTTTCTTCCCTGTTTTTCTTAAATTTGTTCTTGTTATTCCTGATGCTTTTGAAAACTCTTCACAATTTTCAATTTGGACCTATCTAATGTACCACCAGATGCATTTTTGAAGAAAAAATAGGCACTGAAGTTGAAAATCGAAGAACTATTTTGACTACTTATCATGCATCAATAACAAAAAAACCACACATTGTAGAATCACTACATTCATCGCTCAGTTCAGAATATACTTGGTCAAAAAGCTTGAATTTATTTATTGACTACTTAAATTTTTTTGTTTAGTTTATTATAATTATTAAAGTGTTGTGTTTATCTATCTTGTTTATAAAATATATAATTCAAATAACCATCAAAACAATCCAATATTTTTCAAACTTTTGCAATGTATCCTCTTCAGTATTTCCTTTTTTTTTTTTTTAATTTAAAAATTCCTTTCTATTATAACAGTATATTATTTCACAGTAATAAATTTAATTTTAGTTATTATTCAAACACAAAAGAAAACAGTTAACCTAAATAAAATAAATAAATTTAATATATCTTATACACACATCATATAAGGTACAATAATATTTTAGTAATCATATAATTCATTTTAAACTGTTATTTTTTAGGTATCAATAGATGCAAAATTAGGATATTAATGATATAATCGTGGGCTCAAAGCCGTTGACTGAAAAACTTTTTAGGAAACAGGAGAACAACTGGATATGGAACACCAAACCTCAAAACAACAAGTTTGAATCCAATAAATTGGCTTATGATTGTACAGTACAATTACACAAATAAATGTACTTCATATTTTATATATTTACAATTTCTCATTCATTAAAATATTGTAACATAATAATACATACTTATATTTTTAGTACTACATAACATTGAGTACGTAATGTAATTAGTGGGTAATGTAATAATTTGAACAAAACCTTAGTAAAAAAATATTCAATAAAAAAAAAAGATTACAAAAAATAAGAAATAACATAACTTAAGTTACTTATAAGTAGTTATGACAGTGTTTTACAATTTTTATTTAACTGAATTAGTAATTATAATTACAATATTTAAAATTTGGTAGAAACTATTAAAATTAAACAAAGGAAAAAGCATTATGTTATTTGAGACAACTCTTTATAGTCATAAATAGCTGAAATACTACCACAATTCCCATTAATGGGTAATTTTTATTTCCGCTTCTTTGTCGTCCTTTTTGCATTATCTAAAATTCATTATTTAATGCTTTAAATAAAACTAGGTAAAATAATGAAGTTATGAGTGGAACAATGTTTTTTTTTCTTATGCATAGTTAAATTGATATTCTCGTTTTACAGTTTAACGAGTTGGTTAAATAAATAATAATTAATATTTATGCATTTTAATATCCTGTATAAACAATCACAATAAATGGAAAAACACAAAAGGTAATAATGAAGTGGTTTAAGCTTACCGTAAACAGAGTATATTTATATTTATTATATCTTATTTTTACTTTGTTAAAAAATAATACAAATTTACATGAATATATTTTTTTTACGAAATAATCTAATCCACTATAATTAGGTGGGATAGGACTCGGAATGGACCGTCACTACTTTAAATAGTGTTCCGGTTCACAAAAAAATCTATTCAATGTCAGATGCATTAGATGAATGCATGGACTAACATATAATGGACTGGAAACTACATGGTCGACGGGGGTCGGAGGACAGCCACCAATTGATAACACTTTGGGCCCAATGTTTTCAGCGCTGCTGGTGGTTTAATTTGGTGTTGCATTTTAAACCATAATAGAGGAATAAAAACAATTTAGAAATATTGATTTATTATTAAAACATTTTTTTTAAATGAAAAATCATAATTGCTGTGTAAAGGATGCTCTAGTTTGAAAAGAAATCTTACTATTTCTTTTTTAAACCACCTTGTACTTAGTACTACACAATATTCCCAATGTAAGTGTTACTTTCTTATATACCTACTTATTTATTTAATTTTTTTTAGTAAATTCTTATTTAATTTTTTTATGTTATAGAATTTCGGAAACAGAGATTTAATTAGATTAAAAAAGGGGATTGTTCCTTCCATTTTTTTTTTTGTTGATAGAACCGGTAATGACATTTTATGTTTCATCAATAATTCAAATTCTGATCACAATTATACCAAGTGTGGAAGTAATGAAGTTAATAAATTAGTTCGGAGAGCATTATTCATTGAAAATATAGATATTGAACCTAATGAGTTAAACGAAGAGCACCCGAATAAATGTCTAAAATTGTTTAAAGTACTTTTTTTAATTTAGTTATTTTGTTATTAAATAATATTATAATATATTAGCAATTTTTATGTTTAAATTTGTTTTTTTAGGAAAATATTGATGAAATATTCACATTTAATGACTGAACAGTACATTTTAAAAGGGTTGTATTACCAGAAGGATGAATAACACATTTAGTCATCATGAAATTGTTTTTTATAAACCAAAGTTCAATGATGGTAAAATGCAAATTGAAAAACAATAAGTTTTTAAAAGTACATGGGAAATATTGGTAAATGTTTACCAATTTACAATTGAATTTGAAAAATTAGGCATAACATATCCAACTAGCTTAACAGATCTGTCTCAAGCAATTAAAATACTTGATTTAAAAACATTTGTGTAGGTGGTCTGATATCAATACGTTTTTCCAGGTAAACATTATTCTTATCCATACAACAAATAAAATCAAAAATTCTTAAATACTTTTGCTGATTATATAATAATTACTTATAATTTGCAGGTTACAGACTATTATTAAAGATATCAATTTTGAATTAGAAAAACTACAAGAAAAAGCACAAACAATATCAATTAATTCTATGCAACATATCTTAGATTCAGAAAAGTTAAGCGATATTAAGCTATAGCTTTACCTATTAGCTGCACAAAAAACAGATATAAATATTGTTTTTGATGAACAGATTCATAATTATTTTAAAGCTGACAAAAAAGATTGTATTATATATGTGGGTACATCACTAAGCATTTCACAAAATCTATTACTTGTGATGTTTGCAGGACTGCAGTAATAGGTACTATGTCTTTACATACATTTTATTTAATTAAACTATTGGAATTTTGTTTGTTTTTAGGTAAAACATCTTATTCAGAAAAACCGGAAGATAAATTATAAACTTAAAGTCGAGAGGGGGTTTGACTCATCTTAATGAATTCATATTCTAAAGGTTATCTGATGTCGAGAATTTCTTTTTAAAATGTGGTGAAAGCATTGATGTTTTGAATTTAACTGTAGATCATTTCTTGGACTATTTTGGTCCAATTGAATTCTCATGTTCTGAACAAAAAAAGTGATATTCTAATGTTCATAATATCTAAATATATTATTATTAGGATGCAATAGTACATGCAAATGATAAACACAAATCAGATTAAAAAAATGCAAATAAAAAAAAAAATGTTCAAAACTTGTGAATACCTAAAAATATTTCTATTATAATAAAGTATATTAACATATTATGATTTTATTGCTATTCAATTTATTCATTTAATATCCCCCCCCGGACCCACTTAGAGCGAGCCTCACGAGCAACCTATAATATTTTTAAATTACAACAAAATAACTAAAATCATGATAGAACTAAATATTTAGTCAACAGATGGTGTTGTAAACTCTAGGTCCCCATTGCGACCCCCTGCAGTTGCCTCGTGTACATACATTCGTGGCCATGATAAGAGGCTCGTTTCCAGTCTATTATATTTTTGTCCATGAACATAAGTGATACTAGAAATTAATGATAAATTGTTCAAAAGTGTAATGTTACACATTGGTAAGTTATACAAACTATACACAATTTTATAGAAGTTTAGGTAATGACTTAAAAACCCAAATGACGACTTTGATTTTATCAAATGTCACATCATTTAGAATAAAAACAACACCAAGAAAATAGGAACACATTAAAATTAATAGACGGTATAGAAAAATTAATTCCAAAAAGTTTTCATAGATCAAATAATTGTGATATAAAAAATATAAAATTTGGTGACTCGAATATTCAAAATTTAATTTACTGGAACAGTGTAATGAAAATGATATAATTAAGTTTTTAAATTTTCAAAATGGATTTAGGATTAGAAAATATTCCAAATAAATTATAATTCCTTTTTAAAGCAATTGCTACGATTTCTATTTTAGGCCTAAATACGCCACTGTGCAGTGTACACAGTTCCACTACTATCACAATTCCAGCCATAAAAGTATGTGAAATGTAGGTTATTAAAAGGTTAACATATAAGTAACTTATGCCGGGTTGCATGAAAAATGTATTCATTTAATGGTCCAATAAAATTTAATGGACCAATCATGGGCCACTAAATCAAATTTAAAGGACCATTAGCTCACTATTGATTCATTGAATGTTTAGTAATTGTTCATGCATAGGTTTAACATAGGTAATTCAAATACCAAATAAATTTGTAATTTACGACTCTATGGTACTTGTCAAGTACATGGGTGCTTATCATCATACCTATCTCAAATAAACAATTTTGTTATTATGACTACTACGCAGTAAACACTGCCCGAATTTATTTTAAGAAAATTATTTAACCAAAAAGATAAAATAACATAAGTAGGTCTACACTACAAAACTTATCTAACAATATAAAATAACCAAAAACTATAATTTTAAATCTGTATTTAATTCGGATATTCGTAAACTTTTTTAGTGGATTTGTTATATTATACAAGTAATCATCACTTGGTAATTGATTTTTTGAGGAGGTATCATAAAGCGTGCGATATAGAATTAATTAAATAATAATAAATCATACCTGGAACAGCTTGACATGCTACACAGTCCCATTCTTCTGAACATTTGAGAAAACTGCATAATCTATGAGTCTTATTTGAACCACATACACGGCACATTATTATTTCCCATGCTCGACTGTTTGGAAAATAAAAATATATATATACCACTTGAATTTTAGTATAATAATAATAACTCATTATACATATTACATATTTATGTTATTTTGGATATGTATTACTTGATATTAAATTGTAATGCAATTAAAGAAATAGATGTAATAATATTGCATACAACATATCAACATAGGTTGAATTCTATATGAAGTTAATATTAAAACAACATGTGTCAATGAAAGATATATGATTTGACTTTTAACTTAATTCAAATAAATAAATAATACCAAGCACGTGAACATTGTTAATTTATTAACCAATCCCAAATTATATATATTATATTAAAAGACATATTAATAAAATAAATAAAACCATACGCCATCTAATCAAAATAAAATACATGTAACACATAACAAAGAAACAATAATAATATATAAGTTTAATAATATTGTAATGTATGATATCCAATTTTGTAACAATAGAATAGAACATAATTTGATAAGTATTGAAATTGGAATAATAGTTATTGATAGATAAAATTAATGTTTATGGTTGGATATTTAGAATATATATTGACATAAAGATATTATTCTACATACATGTATGGTGAGTTTGATACAACAGAAGTTTAAAATTTTAAAAATAATTGTTTTGATAACAATTTAATTCCCATTGATAATATGTAAATTTCACAAATATTTCACATAATTTGGGTACATACTGATTAAAAGATAATTTACAATTGCCAATTGCTTCTTAGCACAAGCTCTGATATCTTTAAGGGCACTGTAAACTCTATAAATTTGTCATCAAAACAACTTAAGTGACTGACAAAAATTAAGGTACTCTTAGTGGTTCAATTTAAAAAATGTAAAGTTGTTTGAATTTATAAACAAGTCAATTTTGAATTGGTTGGTGTATATATTTTATTTTATTTTTATCTTTTAATACATTCAATATTAAAAATTGACAAATTTATAAAATGTAAAATATTTATTCCCGTCAAGAATTTGCTAACATTTAAAAAGTGCTCCAACCGATACAAATTAATTTGTTTACCAATTCAATTATTTTTAAATTTTTTAAATTAAAGGACTAAAAGTACTTAAATTGTTGTCAAGCGTACAGATATTTTACATTCATAAATAGGTTCAGACAATTTTGATCTAATGACCATATGGGTGCATAATAAGGTAGATGCAAATGATTGGTAGGGAGTATAAACACACTAAGTACTGATAGTAACTCACACACCTTCACGTTTCTAACATAAACACATATGAAATTGTAACTTTACAATCCCCTTAATTAACAGTACTTTTGGATTTTAGAGCATAAAATAAAAAAGATTATTAAAAAAAAATAACTTACGAGTCACGCTGAGGTATTTGTTGATTTTGAAAAGGATATAAGCATTTCACAGCATTGCATGTACAATGCTTTACCATAAGGTCCTCCCAAGCATAGGGAGAAGTATCCCAATCAATATTTTTATGGTTCAATTTTTTCAGAGAACTGTAAAAAAATATATAATTTATTCAAATCGTATCAGTGTATATCATTATCATAGAAATAATACTCATAGACGAAGCATGCCAGGCTGGCGGGCATGTTTTAAACATGAAAAGTTAACTTAGATTAATTTGTATATTTTATCTATATATATATATATATATATATATTCGTACACAGGTAATATAAATATATTTAAGTACTTAGAATAAATAAAACTCAATTTACCGTGATGGAATATATATTCCAAGAATGAGCATTTTACATTTTAACTTTTCATCATCTTTGCAAATATGACACTTGAGAAAGTCATCCGGCCCTAAAGCCAGATCCTGGACACATTCTCTGTGAAACCAGGCATATTTTTGGTCACAACAGGGTGCAAAAATAGTAGTTGGTGAAGGAGATGTTTTAACAGCAAGCTTACAAATAGCACATTGAGCAGGAGTAGAATTTTGTAACTCAGATGAACCTATGATTTGCGGTATACGATGCTTTTGGCAAAATGATCTAAAAATATTTTTTCAATGAGAATGATATAGAAATATAAAATTAACTACATACTTGAATGAAAGAAAATATTGATGCATTGAATCATTTTTTAATCCACAAGGAAGATGAAACACTTTTTGACATTTTACTCCACAGCATGATATAGTTGCACCCTTTTCATTGCAGTAAACACAAGTCTAAAACCATAATTAAGTTGTAACTATATTACACGCTGCATAGTATAGAAAATACATACTTCTGTAGATCCTCGTAAGATTTCTTTTTTAATATCTTTTAATACAAATCCACAAATCCCCTCATTGTTTGAGCCATTTTGAACGGTGTTAGATAATAACTGAAAAAAAAGTACACAGTTAGTATAGTAGTATTTTATACTCTATTCATCTTAAGATTGAACTGCTTTTGTGTACATAGACTACACAGTCTATCATTGTCCGACCTCTCCAGGCGATTGCTATGGGTTTTATCATTTGTTAACTAGACAAATTTTGGTTGAGTAAAGTTCAATGTTAACCTGAATGGAGTAATAATCATAATATATACATATTTGAGGAAGTACACTTACAAGGCAAAAGTAATGAACAATAATATCATTAAGCTGATAGAGCTTGCCATATAACTGTTCACTGATTTCTTTTTGGCCACATAACATACAAGCTTTATTATGAACAGCGCTCAGCTCTACCCACACATTTGTGGGTATGGGTTCACAAGCTGTTAGCCTACGTGCCACTCCATTACCTGTCAAAATTCAATAACTTTATAAGCATTTGATTCTGTAGCACATTATCCATTTAAAATAAGAATTTACAACTTAAATCTAGAACAATATTTTTTCATTCATCATGTAGCAAATGTATATGAAAATGTTAAATACTTAAGTGTGCACAGAGTTCAAGACTCTAACACCTAACCTTACTCGCGAGTAAGTACCGAAAATAAAAATCTATTACTCACGCCTCCTAGTAAACGATGCCATAAGTGAACGGTAAATATTAGCACAGTACTGCTAATTCCCTGTCTGTACCACGTTTAGAAACCTCGATTGCTCTGACGGCGAGGACGTAAAATAACAGTACGATGCTGCTTCAGTTCTTACAGTACCCGATTCCGAATACCAATTACTGTTGCTAATGGACGTCGTAACGTGGTCACTACTTTTTAAAAACCTCGATGGTCGCCTAACAGTGACGAGTTTTATTGCGTTCAATGACTTGTCACTTGTTTGGAGTGTGAACAAAAAACGTTTTTTTAATCACGGACGAGTGTTGACTGTTAAGAATACAGAAATATGGCGGGCTACACGAAGAAAATGCCAGGTGCAGGTGCATGAAAACGCATTTCGTTACAGTCGTTACGGATGCTCAACAGTAAACAACAGAAATGTGGTGTACAGGGTTAACCTATAATACGGTCGGTGTCTGTTGATGTTGCCCCTTGTCGTAGTGGTGGTGGGCGGTCCCGGGAGACGTGTGTCGTCGTGTAAATATCTTTATTTTAGCGTCGGGGCGTGGGCGAGAGGTATATCCCTCGATATACTACCTAACCATAACTATGCAACTGCCATATACCGGAATACCGGATGCCGGTATAACCACTCTTATCATTTTTCGGACAAGTGTTCGACGAATTATCACTCTTGGTGATGCTACACTTGTTACACCTTGTGCCAATGCGCCTACGGCCTACCAGACCACGACGTCCTTACCAGTAAAGTTACCACCTGTTCGCGGAGACTGCTCGGGTTGGAACTTTGGAAGCTTACAGTACTAACACACACACTCAGCCGCTCAGGTTTATGAACCGTTCCACTAGCAAACAGACACATATAATCGCTTTGCTTACGATCCAAGTGGAACGCTCGTGCACGTGCCATGAGCGCTTAGAGTTATCAAATATGAAATTGATAACAAAATACACAAATTTGGTCGTTTGTTTTTGACAAAAAATGTTATTAATAATTAATTACTATAAAAAAAATAATTCGGTTGATCAGGGGTTAGTTATCATAACTACCTATACAACCCATTTTGGTATTTTACTAATTCCAATAAACGCGTCGTTCGTACAACAAGAGCGTCTGTAATTTGACGCGAATTTGTCTTCGATCGCGTAGGTACGTTTGCTTTTTGCCTCGAAGACAATATTTACTGAACACATGTAAAATAATTCCAGTACTTACTAATAATAATCATACGCCCGGGTTTGTCCGTATAGTCATAATTTTCAGGCATAATCGCACAGTTATAGCTAGAGTCCAGATTCGTGTGCATTAAAAAGTATCAAAATATGGTATAGGTCATTGTTTTTTGAGAAAATATCATTCAATTTTGTTTTTATTATTTCCCTTTTAGGTCCAGAAATAATGATAATTTCTTCATCTAATTCTCTTATTAAACAATAACTTTCAGATAAAAGCATATTATGAATTTCATATAATTAAATTAAGGAGGAATCTGAATTACCAACTTTTGGCATTTTGTTCTCACGAATTTTTTTTTAAATTAAAATATTTTTATTGGTACGGTTTTATTTGTAAAACTAGACAATGTCAAAGTCGTAATTTACAATTGGTCGTAACTCGAGAACAGTTTACTAAATGTTCATTTCATAGACTGCAGGTTATATTATTAAATTAAATGCATTACCTACATCGATAAAACGATTAGATTACGGCAGGTGAGCTATTTTTTTAATACGATGGGATTACCTCAACCATATTTTCTAATGTGTATATGTATATATGTTACACATAATACGTACTTTAAATTTAGATAGCTAGAGCTGTGTCGCAACTTCCATGTTCTACCAAACGAAATATTTTGGTGTCAGCGTAGGTATTCATTGAAAAATGCAACGAATATGCATTTACGGTCAAAAATGCAAAAATATGCAAAATACAAATTTAGCAGTGAATTTCTGTTGATACGATTCCTCAAAATTATTACCTAAGAAAAATTTTAAAAAGTGAAAAGAAAAAACATGCAAAAACATACAAATCCGGGCTTTAATTATGACGAACGGCGGAGCGGTAAGACGTTCGGGATAACAAATCAATGAGCGACATTAAATTAAAAATTTCTCGTCATACACCAGAGACGTTCTACTTTTCTCTAAAAATAAATGTTGTATGTATATCATATTGAATAAATGCTGTCTATAGTCTATATGACAATAAGAAGGTATAAAAAAATTTAAAATAAAAAAGGGGGTAAGTGGATGTCGCTCTGCTGTACAGTAGGTTACAAGTGGGCATGGGCGGATAGGCCATTTTTGGCCTACCAGGCAATTTTAAAAAGGGGCCCCACATAAAAAAAAGTTGCTCGCAAGTACAGTATTAGATTAATTATGTTACCTACAATATCAAAACAAAACATTGGACGTGTATGATTTGTCTGTTATATTTGGCAATATTAACATCTAGAAAATCTATAAAATATATTATAACAACATCTATATTCCATTATCAATTGACAATTAAGTACATCTAATTATAAAAGTTGAGTGTTTAATTTAGGCTTTTACACTTTAAATAATGTTGAAAATTATAAATGTAATAGACACATTAAGAAACACAATTTGTATTTCAAAAATATTAGAAAATTTATTTGACAACCCCTACTTATTTTATACTGCTGATTG